TTTTTAAGATTTTTATTAAAAAATATAGCTAACATACAATATTATATTGGTTTCAGGGGTACACCATAGTTGTTCAACATGTATATACCTTAAGAAGTGATCACCATTAAGTCCAGCAACCACCTGACACTGTACCATGCTATCACAATATCATTGCTATATTCCCCATGCTGTACATTACATCCCCATGACTTATTTGTTTTATACCTGGAATTGGACCTCTTACTCCCCTTCACCTTTTCCCCCTTTTTAATTTTTCAATTACAGTTGACATTTGATATTTTATATTAATTTCAGGAGTACAGCATAGTGGTTAGACATTTATATAATTTAAGAAGTCATTTGGTTACATTAGAATTCTCACTGAAAGCACAAATAAATTAATTAACTAGGTGGTATTGCTATCTGGGCTCTCATAAATTAAACTTCTCATAAACTTTTTCCGTAAGTTCTCAGCCATATCTCGATATAATGAAGGAGATAATAGTTTTCCCAGTTATGCTTCTATTTTCAAAAGCTTATTTATTTTTGGCATGTAATTTCTGCTACATTCAATAGGTATTAAAAGCGTACCATTTGTTAAAATGTTTGTATGCCATATTTTTCACTTTATATCTGAATTTCACAGCATTACCATTTTTAAAATTTTCATTTAAAATTAAGTCCTGTTGAAATTTCAGGCTTTCATTTAATTCATCAACATTTTACTTATACTGACACTCACATATACATTTCTGGTACTAGCAATTGTTTTAGTGGAGTTTCTTTCATAATGTTTTTTAAAGGGGTATTCTTTGACATAGTCACATTTTGCCTGTTGAACACAATATTTTTGCCTTCCACTAAAAACACACTCTTTTTAAAATACATGGCTTTCTTGGTTTATCTTTTTCATATTCCTACTTTTGATAAGAGACATGAGTCCAAAGAAATAATTCTCTACTATAAGAAAAATAATAGTGTAAGTGCAATGACAAATTGTGGCCCCAGCGTAAAGCAAGAAAATAAGGAATGATAAAACCCAAGTGAGTAAAAGACTTTTGCTCTCGTGGTGTGGCAGGGGCTCAGCTCTACAGGTAGTTGTCATCCAAGACAGAAAGATCCTCACCCTGCAGTAGAGCCACTATTTACCTGGCTGTGTAAGTGGGTTAAATTTTTTTTAACATTATGCAAATCAACATCCTAAAAGCCGAATAATCTTTAGCCTCTTGTCCAGACCGCCATGGGAAAACATTTTCCAAACTCCTTTATCATTTGCTGGGCTACCCACCTGTCTTGAATGGGGTTTGCACTTGACCGTTTTTTTTTTTGCAGCATTAATTTACTTTCATGCAAATGACTGAGAGGCAGGGGATAGTGAATAAAAAAGAAAAATCCCTGTCCTCAGAAAGACTATGTTCTAATGGGGGAGGAGAATGGAGAAAAAAAAAAGATAAGAAGTATAAGTACTTGGATGTCAGAACTATGGAGAAAAATAAATCTATTATAATAAGGAAAGAGCTGGTAGGTGTTTTGGAACAGGGTGATCACATTGTAACGGATGAAAAGTGGTTGAATTATTGAATTATATTTTAAAGATGAAGCTGACAAGACTTACTAAAATATAAGATACCAGTTGTAAGAGAAAAATAATCAAATTTTCTTTTTTATCTGAGTGACTTGAAGGGACGTAGTTGCCACTGTGAAGAGAAAGATTGTGGGTGTTGTTTTTGGCCAGTAGTGGGGAAGCTGCTTTGTTTTAGACTTCTTGTCTCTTAGATAATCAAATGGAGATGTGCAATTGCCAGGTGGTTATCTGAGTGTGAATTTCAGAGAAGAGGCTCAGACTGAAGATATACATTTGGTAGTGATCAGCATACAGTCATGGGACTAGCTGATAGCACCTAAGGTATGAGTGTAGATAAAGGTCTGAGGAGCAAGTTTTGTGAAATTGCTGTTTAAAGGTTGAGGGTGTTAAAGAGCCAAGAAACAAGACTGTGAAGACATGGCTACTGAGGTAGGACGAGAACAGGAAATGGTCATGTCCTGGAAGCATAGTTGAGGAGAATGGTTGGAAAGGGAGGCAGTAAATCAACCGTCAAGTACGGCTCCTATGTCAAATAGGGTGAAGACTGAGAATTGATCATTGGATTAGCAATATGGAGGTGCTTGTTGATCTTGAGAAGAGCAGTTCAGGTCTGTAGAAGAAGATAATGAAGCAGCAGCTTTAGATAGGCAAGGGATAAAAAAGAATTCTGTTTTTAAGATGGGAGAAACAATGCCAGAACTTCTTAGTTGATGATCAAGCCTCTCTATATCTACTTTGTGCATAGTACTTTACTATATCCATGAGAAATGCCATCTTGACCCTGGGGTTGCAATCTTACTGATGGAATTGAAGAATTAACAAAATAAAAAGACCAGGTAATTAATGCTAGAATCGTTTAAAAGAAGAGGATAAGAATTGGTTTCACAGAGAAGGTGGCTTAAATTCTACTAAAAATATAAGTTGGATTTACGTAGATGAAAGAGTGGGGACAAAGGGAAAGAACAGTGTGACACCTGAGGAACAGCAAGACTGGCCTGGCTGGAATTCATATGAAGAAGAGATGGGTGATAAGCATAGAGAGCTTTTACCCTCAGCTAAGTTCTGGTTTTATTATTTTGGCAATGAAGGTTAAAAGAGTTAAATAATCCATAGGTAGTAGCTCTAAAATTAAAAAATAAATTTGTAATAGTTTATTTTTAGCAATTTTCATTAGAAAATTTGCTCAAATGTCTTCTAAATAAGGACGACAAGGTATTAGTGAAGTTAAAGCTAATACAACTAGCTAAGTTTTAAAATATTATAATAATTACTTTTCAGCATGAAAAATTTGCCCTATATACAATAGAAACACTACTAGGCAACCACAAATTTCCTTTTATAATGTTGATTGTATTCCATTTTTATGCTTTGGAATGGTATTTTATAAATAAGAAATAAGATTTAAATAAAGTATTTCTAACTAACCTATTAGATATTTTATAGCTCCTAATATCCTCAACTCTATTTTTGGAAAAGAGTCTGTTGTTTATACTACTTTATGGATGTAAAAACTACTTTATAGTAAGTTTTTTTACTATTTGTAATTCATACCATATAAGAACTAGAAGAGATTTCATTAAAAGAAAACCAAATACGGATTTAAAGGTGCTTTTCAAATGAATATCTTAAGACGCTTTCACCAATCCTCACCATCACCCTAAATATAATCAAACTTAATATTTACGATTTTTGAAATAGATAATCAAGATCAATTCTGTAGGTAACTAACCAAGCTACTTTTTTTTTTTGAACAAGGGAAGCTGTTAGGTTGAATCATATGAAACTGCCAATTTTGTAGGTCAAAAATGAAAGCACATCAGAGATTTAATACTGTTCAACATAAAAATTCCAACTTGGCTCTCCCAAGGTTTCCTAGATTGGTGAAGTTCAAATCTAAAGGGAGAGTGGCATTCTTCTAAAAATTGCACATTCTTTGACAAACTGGCTTTTACTGAGTGTCTATTGTTTGAAGGCTCTGCCCTAGGTCCCTATGGTTTATTTATTTAGCCCTAATGGTTTACAATTTAGCAAAAAAAAAAAAGCCAAAAAAAAACCCAACCATTAAATATAAACAAACAGATATGCTTATCATTAAAGTGAATTTTACCAAGCTTAAAAGCTTCTTACACTAACATTTGAAATAATAAAGCATTTGTGGAGAAAAAAAAATACCCATCTTTAAAAGTTTAACTGGTCAACTTATCTTACAATGGAATGATCGGGTGTAAATGTTGTTATACTAGCACCTAAAGCAAATAATAGGATCTAGCTCATAGGTACAGTGAATGGTTTTAGGTGAAGGCTCTGAATTTTTAATGCTATACTGGTTATCCATAAAAATGGCAAAGTTTGGCAAAAGAAAAAGGGAAGGATTGGAGCAGATCTGAGGAATGCAAATACCCTTTGAGGCCATACGGTAAATTTCTCAATGTGATTTATAATACAGAAAATCTGAGTTGAGAAAACCTCTGTGGTTTTAACCTCAATTTTAGCGTATTTAAATATTTTGTTAAACATCTTTTGCTGAAGAATGTTATGATTGAATAATGTAACTAGTCAGTATCTGAGTATATGCAGAAAAAAATTAAAACATACCATATATAGATGCTATCATGGTGGGAACGTCTTCCGTAATAGCCTCTTATCCATAACAACTCATTAAGAAAATCAAATATAAACAGAATGTATTTTAATTACAAATGCACTGTATTTTAACATTTTATATATAATAAAGCAGTGGGACATATTAAATAAGAGCATGTGATGAAGAAACAGGGTTTAACAGTTAAGTTTTAGCCTTGAGTTCATTAGGAAAGAAAACTTATATTTACTTGTGCATCGCTATTGGATACATAAGTGCTTCCAAAAAAACAGAAATACAGGTCATCTTTCTTTTTCAACTCTTTCATCGGGAAGAATCTTTTTCAGGTGATAAAACTTACAAGCTAAATTAAAATGCACTCTACTCATTGGCAAGCCACATCACAAGAATAATGTGATCGTAGTACTTGGAAGTTTTTGATTTATAACTATACCATTCTCTACTTATAAGGCTGCAGTCTAGGAGGCAGAGCAATGAATCATTACAATTGTCTATCTGGGAAATGTCAAAAGATTAAGTAAGGGCAGAAGAAGAGAGAAAAGGAAAGAACACACATTGCTGTCTGAGAAACATTCCTCAATTAATGGGAACATACAGCTAGCACATAAATCCAGTGCTAAAGAAATAATAATTAAAATTTTAAAATCTTTGCATAAGACTACTAATAAACCATAATGCTTAAACTTCCTGGGCAGAAAGGCGATTATCCTCCAAAGCTCTGGTAACTTAATTATTCCTTATTTAACTATCACAGTGATCTACCCCTATATACTAAGAGTTTGGAAAAGCAAATTTAAGCTGAGGAAATGAATTAGACTTTTGAACCAATCATTAATGGATTCAGTTCGTTAAAAAAGGAACACATATAGTTTAATTGATACTTTGCCAATACAAAAATAAGAATCCACAGAATGTTTATTCACTGTTTAAATTACTCCATATTTTCATATACCATGAACAGAAAATATGCTTCACCCCACACACAGTAAAAGCAAACAAGTGCAATCTTTCAAACATTAAAAGTCATAAACAAATCTGTACAACAGATAAATAAATTTATACCTCTAACAGTTAGCTTGTACAAAACCAAACCAAACCCAAAACGTATATTGCCCGAAGTCACCAGTTTACTTAAAATTCTACTGATGGTCATACATCTCAATCGTAACAACTTGAATCATTACTAGGCTGCACAAGTTTAGATTGATAAATATTCCAAAAACCTAGGAGGGAGTAATAAGAAATACCAAAATGGTTATAAAGAGCTTTCCAAACATTGGAAATAATATACAAAAATTAATTAGTCAGGGGAAAACATATTAAATGGGTCCACAGGGTAACTGGTATTACACTGGTATAGCTTAAGGAAAGAAAACAGGTGAATATTGGAATTGGAAAGAAAATTTGGCCTTTTTATAAAAAGAAGCAACAACAACATATGACAATGACAAAACCCTGTCATGGAGCCTAGAACAACTTTGTGAGACAAAGTGTACAAAGATTTAGGCTTGCAAACCTGAACACCACAGTTAGAAAAAAAATCATGGCAGGACACACAGAACATCAGACCATGAACACATAAATTAAAGGCATACTGTTACTCATTCCACATCATTGCACATATAAGAAGAAAACAATACTGCAGTCATTCTTCAGTAAGAAAGTTTTCAATGAAGTAGGAAGTTCCATGATGAATATAGGTGTAGACAATCTTATTACCACAAATTTAGTAAATATCAAAACACTCAGTGCGACACGAAGCTAATTAAATTATCTATAATGTTTACTGGAAAGGTAATTATTTCCCTGCTTTCATATGTTCACTTAAAGTCATTTATAAATGGAAACGCAGATCCAGTAGAAAGACTTTCACATGCAGTCCTATACAATGCACTCTGCTTCTTCCATTCTTTTCAGTATTTCACATTGGATATGTACATTTCCAATATATACAACCACAAATGTTCAACCGACGTCACTGAGCTGTCCTCTCACCACGAGTTTTTATTTACACATACAGTTGTATCTCCAGAGATGTTATTCTCCTCGAGGCAGACACAAAGTTAGCTTGAAGAGTTTCAGTTTTTTAGAATTTTGAGAACTTAATGTCTTGATTTATCTTGAATGGACGATAAAATGAGGAGTCCACAAAAAAATGCAGCTATACATGCCAACCTTTTCAACAGAGATGAGTTATCTTTAGGAATAATAATCTGTGCGAGATCATTAGTGATCTGAGAAATTTCATGTGCCACACAAACAAATATGAAAGTGCTGACAATGATGTTAAGCATAGGGTTTCCAGGTATGAGCACCAAGATACCCCTTGTGTCTGCTGCCAGCCATATGTGGTATTGGCAAATAAATAGCTAGGAGGGAAAATATTTCAAGTTAGATATATGTACCGAAGGTCCATGAATATATAACAGTTTTCCCTAATGTAAAACATTTGATAGCATAGTTACATTAGCAGGCTTTTCCAAAACCATTAAATTCTATTTTATTATTGGCCCTAAATAGTCTACTGCAGTCCGCTCTCCAGACTCTGCCTTGATGAAGCGGGACTTCAAAGTCCTCATGAGATGAACCATAGGAACCTTCTAACTTTACAAACATTTCTTTACATGACATAGAAGACAGCTGACATAATGATATCTGGACTTTGGTATTCAGGCACCAAATAAAGAAGTTGTGTGTGTGTGTGTGTCTAGTACACCTATGTGTGTACTTTATGTGAGTACCAATATGTATATATTTTTAACTTATTTACGTATGTACATGTATGAATGGGAAATGGCATAGGGTTTAAGATGTCCTCATGTGTGCTATGCATGGCCAGACAAATGTCTTGAACCATATTCGCAAGTTTCTTAAGTGTATTTCAAGTTTCATGTGAATATATGTATTAGGTGACACAACTATTTCTTTTGATTGTGATTACAAACGTGGTTCTTTCATCACATTGCAAAATATCAGAGTAAAAATATGCTTAAGGCTATTTCAACAATGACACTATGACATATATTTTTAATAGAAATCTAAATTCATTCAATTAAAGTTGATAAAAACTCTCATGCTTCAAATATTTAGGGACTGGCAAAATAAATATTCTTTTATCCACTCAATGACATGGTAAGTCATTCATGATGAAGAATTTAAAATTCTATACAATCTCTCTTAATAAATGAGACTTAAAAAATAATAGAACATTTTTTCAAGAACTCAAAAAGAAATTTATTTTCCCTATTTTAAAAACAACTTGATAAATCTTATACTCTAAAATGCATCTTGTAAGTAAATCTTATGTTCTAAAATGTATCTTATGATTACAACATGAATTCTGTTTTAAATAGTCTATTTCAAATAAAGCTCAGAATACATTTCAAAACCTATTTTAAACTGATTTTGTAGATAATTTCACATTAGGTATTACATTAAAAATGTAATAAGTCTTAAATTTTTCCCAACACTTCTAATCATAAGGGTGAATTTTATTATGATAAGCATCAATAACCTAAATTCCAGTAATGTAATATTATGGAGATGAACAAATCAAAATCCCCTCACCTTAATTTCATTTATATCTATTTAATTTTTTTCTCTCATAATCTCAGCACCTTGGTTGTGCTTAAAAGCTTAAGATAATACAAAGGATACTGTGAAAGTCATCTATGTCTAGTCATTTAAATAAGGCTTAAAACCAATCTATAATACTGCTTTGTAAGTACTGAGTTTTTTTCCCTGTAATTCCATAAATAACATAGCTCTGATTTTAAAAGGTATGTTAGATTTACACACACACACACACACACACACACACACACACACACACACACACACACAA